TTAGGAAAAGAAACAGTATAAATGTTGTATATAGCATATCTAGTGGCATCCTTAGTTTTTTTGTTTGTTTGTTTTCTAATACCGAAATGAAATAAAACCATGAAAATTTGTGTCAAGGAAACTAGTTCTCTCAACTTTACATAGTAGTGGGATAACTAATGAAAGTGCCTTTGCATTTTCAGTCTCAGAACATCAGTCAAGCACCTGAACAATCAATAGTTTCAATGTTTTGAGACTGTAAACTTAAATGAACACAGCTGTCACTCAAGGTGAAATGTGTTGCAGCTTTGTTTGCAAAATTAAAGCTTTGCTATCTGCAGTAGTTAGTATATTACTAGGATGACTCTGAATTGTATCAACAGACATTTTGAACTATTCAGAGAAAGATACACCTTAATATGATGATCAATAAAAATGGGGGTCAGCCAGCTCATTATTGAGTGAACCCTTTAGCCCCTAAGAGTGACTTGCATCTAATTTCTCCCTATGATATCACCCCTGAAACAAACACAAAAGTCATGAGAACAGAGGAGATGATCACCAACTAGTGTGGCTCTTGACTATTAAACAAATTCTCCTTGTCAGCCTCTTTGGAAATGTATGGGAAAACGTATGGAGAATATGCATTCTGATGCTAGGGTTAAAGGGTTGAGACATGTAAGGCAAGAATTGGAGTTTTATTAATTGAGATGGTAAAGTGTCACTATGGTATCCCTAACTCTTAAAAAAATGAACATAACTTGTTGTGAAACGCTATGGCATTTTTTTAACTATCAGGTAATTTCGAGGAAACTAAAGAAGTTTGGGAACTTTGATCCATCAGAGAATTGGGGTTTAAAAATGACCAAACCAGTCAGAGTCTCAAACTCAGGTAGCTGTTTTAGCCTCCTTGAATCCCAAACCCTTATTAAGGAGTAAGGTTCCATTGATAGGGGTGTCTAATACATTGTTATTTGAATTTCTGTTAGGCTGCTGGGGTTACTCTGATTGGCATTTTCTTTGCAGGCAATAGTGTAGTTAAATGTGACAATTGATTTTAAACCAAGGCTGAATGATGTCTTTTAAACATCATTTTAATTGTTTTCCTACTGCTGACTGAGAGGTTGGTGCAGATGACAGGTGGACCTAACTTGTCTCTCCTTATTTGAACAGAATTATTAACAAGTAAAATGTGAATGAAAAGCAAATTTTGCTCCTCATTCTTTTGTTTGAAGGAAGTTTTTGTTTTGTAGGATGTTTAAAACACCCATTTTGTTACCTCACTTGACATTTTGTGTCTATATTTTCAAGAAATTTAGTAAAGAAATCTTTATTTCCAATGCATTAAACAGATTTCCCAACTCTTTTAAACAGAAATGTTCAGAGATGTTTTCAAAGATCTCATCAAAAGAAGGATACATCTTTAAGAAACCATCACTTTATTCCATGTACAATTATGTACAGACAAAGTTCTATAGTACTTTACATTTAGTTGCTAAATACAGTTAATCTTGTGTGTAATAGAACACATAATTTAATAATATAACTAAATTACTGAGTGAAACTACCGTGTTTAATGGCAAACAATGAATCCTTCACTACTACCAAGGTATTTCATTTTAAATATTGTATAAATCTAAACTCATTCTAATACAAATAAAGAACAAAAAGAATTTTTTTTTTCAGTTTATGACATTATGATTTGAGAAAAATATCATACCACCCTCAGAGCCACAGTTAGTTGAGAGAACCTTCAAACAAGTACAAAATTATCTCGATTCTTTAGCAGTAGAATAGACCATTTTTATTGGTGACTGCCTGCACTATTCCTACAAATATTCAGTCCAATCCCTTACCCACCAAATATTCCAAGGTACCATCAACTTGGGCTTCCATTCAAGTTTGCCCACTTTTGAACCCATCACTAGAAACATGAGTAAATTTGTACTGTTTAGATTTCCTTAAAGTAATAATTTTCCCTATTTATTTCCTGTAAGTTAACTTTATACTTTGCCTAACATAATTACATAAGATTTCTGTTAAAACTAGGTTATTCTTTGTAATTTTTTACCAACTGTAGTTAACAGCTCTTTATCAGTTCCTTCAACTACCTGTGGCACGGGGAAACCCAATTTGATTATGATAAGTTTCCCCATTACATTAGTCAATTCCCCAGCCCAAGAGGATTGTATTCTAAAAATTACTAAATACCATCCTTACGAACAATCTGTAAAAGTTGTAACCATATTTCCCACTTTCCTTGTGACAGTTCTGCAACTTCTACCTCCTAAAAATCAAAAGATGTATGATTATTACTAACATAACAACAAAGACATAATTTTGCATCACTCAGAATACTTGAATTATATTATGTTCTTACCAACTAAGCATGAGGGCCATGGCTTTTGCAAACAAAAATATATGGCTCATGACTGTTTCCTTAGAAATGGTCAGTATGGAAAAATAGTGACCGAGCAAGAACCAATTAGAATGTTCAGATCTACCTCAGGACAACCTTGGCATATTATAATGATGTAGATTAATGTTATTTGCAACATGGATGTATTTAAATGCAGTGCAACAACACACCCACTCACATTTCTTCATTAACCCAGCATGAAAGAAACTTGGAAAGCTAGGATGACTAACGGAACATCTAGCATTTTCTTAAATGTCATACACATACACCTCACCAATGTTATTTTCTTTTATTTCAACCAAAGATTCATTTCAGTGGATGGAGTTAAAGCACCTAACAAAAGTATGCCACATCCAATTTGATAAGAAACAAAGACCTGACTTTGAATTTTGCTTCTACTTTCCCCAGTACTACACTTGAAACCTTATGGATTATTTTATTGTGAACCACACAGTGATCAGTAACACTGCTAGATGCTGCTTGAACATTAATTAGCTCTTCTGTGGTATAATTTTGATGAGCTATTTTTTAAATCCATGTAAAATAAGTTTTCACGTTTCACTTACTTGATTGTGTTTGTTTAAACTCTGAGTGTCTGACATTTCTGTGGAATCTATCCCCATTATCTTCAGAGTAAAAGTCATCTCTATGTCTACCGCTGTGAAAGCTGTCATCACTAAAAAATGAATCTCCAAAGCCACTAAACTTAAATCCTCCTCCAAAAAAGTCATCTTCCTCATCATCCTCCTCATCATCATCATCAAAGAAATCATCAAATCCTCCTCCAAATGAAAACTTAAAACCTCCACCTCCTCCCCTCTGATTGTGTCCATTTCCAAAACCAAAGTCAAAGTCTTTAAATATATCATCAAAGCTCTGGAATCCTTGATTGAAGTTGAAGCCATCATTATTCATCCCTTCTGATCCAAATTGGTCATATTGTCGCCTTTTCTTCTCATCAGATAGTACCTCATATGCTACAGGTATGGAAGGGGAAGTAAATTTGTTAGCAACATCTTTGAGGTCAGTGGTGTTAGATTACGTTTTATGGTTAATTTTATGATAGTGAACTAATTATGCAGTTAAAATATTGAAGGTAACATGGGCTTGAAAAAAAGCATTGAAAGTTTTAATTCCTTTCAGTACAAATCAGTGTTTGGTAGACTGGATTTTGTGGTTTCATAATGGCTTTGATTGTTCCATTGACACTACTTTCTCAAACAGACACTTGCAATTTCTTCCACAGTACAAGACAGACACCTATACATTATGACAAAAAGTGTTTACTAAGTAAAATATAACACACATGAAGACATCAAAACTTTGTCTGTAGACTGGAGGTTCATTTATTGAGGATGAAACTAAAATGTTCGTGGAAACTGCTAGACATCTTCGATCCTGCATGAAAACTGACATGCATTTCACCTCTGACCTGACTGTACAATGTACCCTTGAATTTTCTTACACATTTAATTTGTTCCTCAAATTGTTCGGGTACACCTTATGTAATCATGTACTTTTAACGTAACCATATAATTCTCCGACAATTTTAGTAAGTTGGTTCTAGATAGAATAGCACGACATAAATCGAAATGATAGCATTTCCAAATCCTCTCAAAAAGTTTCAAGACATTTCATTCCGTCTTAAGCAGAAATTAAACCATTGTGACTCAAATGTTGACAACACGCTTCACTTGAAAATCAAAACATTAAAAACATCAAGATATTGTTGTGCAATCCACAAGTGCAATGTAATGCAAACAATTGTGGAATTTACTAGAATCCATCAATCTCTATAAATAAGAACATTCGTTTAAGGAACTGAGGCGATCGCCACTCAATCATGAATTACCATGGTAAAATTTAAATATCTTGCCAAGTGGTTTGACAGTGATTATAGCACAGAACAACACAGAAATCGACACCCGGTGTTTGAAGATACCTAACTTCTGTAGAGGGTTTTTGCGAATCTATAATCCACGAAAAACGAATTCAAGATTTCCTTTTACATTTCGATTAGGAAAATAAAACCTTAATTAAAAAAAGAATTGGTGAAGGTGACTGGTAAATCTTGTTCAATACGATTGTTTTGCCTCTAAGGGGCTCAAACACTATCGACAATCACATTTCAAGCGAGATATTAACGTCTCAGTCAAGTATTTGCATTACCTACCTTCCGCAACTTCTCTAAATTTCGCCTCTGCATCCTTAGCTTTGTTTTTATCGGGATGATATTTTACAGCAAGCTTCCTGAAAGCTTTCTTAATCTGTCTGTCGTTCGCATCTCTGGGAACCCCTAAAATTTTGTAATAGTCCTTGGCCAAAGCCAAATCGATGACCAGAATACTGAATGCCGCCGTTACAAGTAGAACAAGATTGTCACAGTTCATAGTCTTTTTGTCTGTGATTCAACAGGCAAACAGTTGATGAGTGAAGAATATTTCGATCCGTAAGAAGAACGACACAAAGTTTTCTACCTAAGCAAACGTGTTGTTTTCTTGGTAGCAGAACGTTTCCCTTCGAACTGCAGCATACGAAGCGTTCTGTGATTGGTCAGTTGGCAAAGATGACGTTTGATTTCCGCCGAAGGCGGCCAGTCCCAGAACTACTTGCAGCAGTTGCAGAATCAAAACAAACATGGCGGAGGAGTCTTCGGACGAGGAGCAATATGAAGATCTTAACGTTCAAAATGGATACGATGGTGAACTTGAACTGTACCTCAGGGGTGATTCTGAATCAGATACAAGTGACTCGGCAGGTAGTGTAATGTTGTGAGGGAAGTCTCTAAAAACGGTGTGCAGGGCGAAGTTTGTATAGAATGTAGCTAGGTGCAGAAAGAAGTGTTAATGCAATAGTAAAGGGATTTCTACTAATTTTCTCCTCAGTGGATATAAAGCCAGTATGGTTTGGGCTACTATCAAGACGGCTATACGCTCGATTTATAGGAAACTTTTTTGCTTTATCAGGACCAAAGAAAATTTGAACTGACAACAATGTGTACACATGAAATAATTGATAGAGACTCTAGACTGTACTGACGTTAAACTTCGACTTTTGTGACTAGAGTTACTCTGAAGAAGACATTCATGAACTCAGCTGTCGTATAGCAAGCATGGGAATTTGTATTTCGACATTTTGTCAGTAAAGAGTGATTTATCTGACTTACTAAAATATTTAATGTATTTGTTTTGTGGTTTTTATTCAGCTGAAATTGTCCAGGATAGTGATGAAGGCGGAGCCCTTAATGAGTGTACGGTGAATTTTGACCAGTCTCTTCCAACTCGCCATCAAGTGAGCATTAGCCTGCACTCTTTTAACCCTAACATCAGTATGCAATTTCTCCATACTTTTCTCCCTACATTTCCTAAGCTGTCACCAAGAGGAATTTGTTCAGTAATCATGAGGTGCTTTAGTCAGTGATCACTTTCTTCATTCTCATGAACTTAATGTTTGATTCTAGGATTATTTTGTAAGGAGCAGTTAGATGTTAGTCACTTTTAGAGGTTAAATGGTTAAAACACAAATTAGTGTATATTTAGCAAAGTGTAAGACTTATGACTGGAAACATTAAATCTTGAACAATTAAGGTATTTGTCTGTTTTCCTTGCAGTATCTTGGCGAAGAAATGGATGAGTTCAGTGGACGCACATATCATGAGCCTGGTTCACATATCACCCTTCCATTACTGATGTTACCTGGTCTTGTTCTGGTCCCTGGACAAACTCTTCCTCTTCACTTATTTCAACCTCAGGTTGGACATACACTTTTAAGAAATATATTCATGACTTGAGAGATATACTAGACAAATCTTCACTTGAACATAGGTGAATGGTCAGCTTAACTTAACTCTGTTGCAACTTTTAAGAAACTAACTGACTGACTTTTACATTACAAGGTAAATGATTTGACTAACTAAACTGCAGCTGTTTTCAATTGAATGTCTAAGTAATACAAGATTGCATTGGTTTTACTCAACTATGCCCTATGACTGGTCTAGAACACTCTCTTGACCAACTTCCAATGAATAAAAAACTGCAACCATTAAGATTTGGTTGCTCATGTTTTCCTAAGCATCAAGCAGTTTCATTCTCTTTACTATGAGTTTTAATTGGCTCCCAGTGATATTTTCCTTTGGTCTTTTTAACTTTGGTTTTAGTCTTTCAAAACTATGTTGAAAAGGGCTCAGAAGGAAATAAAATAATCAGGGAATTTATCTCTCTGATAGCCATTTATTCTCTTTAATGGGTGGGAAGGTGGGACTGCACATCTAGTATTATTTGATTACAATTTTTTGGTTAAAAAATATGGATGTATTGACTTTTATTAACTACATATGTAATTGTTCTTAACACCAGTCTGTGTCAATGATGAAAAATATTATAGAAAAAGACAGAACGTTTGGCATGGTAAATGCAAGGTGAGAGATTTATGCTACAGTCCTCAGAGAACATGTCTTTTTTTCTACTTTATTGCCAATGTTTTTTTCATAAGTAACTCTTCTGTTGGGAGATTGTATTGCAAGCTCATTTCAGGTTTTAAATGTTATATATTGTTTTATATCTTATCTAGGTCAAATATTTTTAATTCTATCGAACATGATTTGAAATGATATTTTGATAAAAATTGTGAAACTGAAAATATGCAAACTTTTCTTTCTTGTTTCCTTTAAAAGCTTTACAGTGACTAAAGACAAGAGCTCAAGTTCTTATCTCTAAACAAGCCTCTCATTATTTCATAATATCAATGTTTATTGTTTGATATCATGTTGTCCTCTAGATATGGCATTAACCAAAGCCAGCTGCTTGCTGCCATTGGAACCACAGCAGAGATATTCTCCATGAAAGAAGAGTCTGATGCAGGAATTAATACACTGCGTATCAAAGCTACAGGCCGTCAAAGGTTTCGAATTAAAGAACTGCGTAGGCAAGTGGATGGGTGAGTTACAAGGTCATGCAAGATAGTGACGTGTTTTAGTCAATACCTTTTAAAGACTTATACTTCTGTAAAGAAACCTCTTAGAGTCCTTTTAGCTTAAGTCTCTAAGCTAATAACTCTAACTGATACATGGTAAAAGATAAGAATAGTTCCCAAAAGATATAGTCAGCCAACGGTCAACCAACTGTTAGCCGACTGTCAGCCAACCAATGGCCAACTGTGAATCAATGAAATATTGTTCACTTTTACCCATGTACAGTTGTTGTACAATATGTAGTACCTGAAAACCAATGGGAAGGCATCAACTGGAATAGGGTCACAACCAGTTGATAACATTTTCGTCACATTTAGTGTCTTTAGAATGAAGGAGTGAGCTCAAATATTGAAATTTTAACCAAGTTTTGCTTTTTCCTGCCTCAGTATTCTACTGGCCACAGTGCATGTTTTACCAGAAGTCAACCTTCCCTCTCATCCTGAGGGTGCACTTTGGTCTTGTTACCACAAGTTTGGTTGCCAGGGAACCACTAGTGGCTACCATGAAAAACCACACCAGGTCACCTCCAGAAAAAACAGACTGGGGAAGAATAAGTATCACAAGGTTAGATTTTAAGGAGGCATCAAATTTACTTTGATGAAGTAACACTACTTTTTCTTAATTACTTTTCTTAATTTCATTTTCACTGATCAAGCTGCAGAGTGACAATCTTATGTAGCTATTGATCAATTAGTCCGTCTTATGTTTCTCTATATGGCAAAAGCTAAGAACCAAGCTTGGTGATCCCTGTGGTTTGTTTGTTTGTTTATTTTTCTCAAAAGGGACCCTGCTTGATATGAGGATTTAGTTCCCCCTTCTTTTGACCTTCATCTTTTTTAATAAAGTTTTTGTTTTGTGTTCAAAATCTTTCTAAAATCTTTAAGAAATGCTGTCTAGGGTGGTGAAAGTTTCTCTAATGCAAGAGAGAAGTTAGGTGAACTAGTTATGGACAGGACAGTCTATTTAAATGTTTGCATATATATATATAAATATATATATATACATATATGGTACCTTATTAAACTTGAATTACTGATCAACTCTATAGGTACCCACCAGTCTAAGTTCATGGCCAAGCTGGGTATATGAGTTGTACAATCCAGTAAGTTATAAAATGTTCAATAAAAAATATTAATCAAGGAGAAAACCTTTGGATACTGTCACATGATCAACCTGGCACATTCCAGATCTTCAGCAAGATCACCTACAGTTCTTTTTGGGAATGGTGAAAGTAAAGGATAAAACACATGGGTCGTAGTAGTGACTTTTCAAAGACTGAATCATAAAGGTTCTTTTCAATAGAGCTACAACTTTGAAAATATTTCCATGAAATATGAGAAACTGTTGGTGTCCACAAGCAAGTGTTATGATTTGTAACAGTTTACTGGAAACTGTTAATATTTTGTGGAGTAGAGGGTTTTCCCTAAAATACAACAGCCCATGCATGTCACCAACCAGTGTACCAATCATTTCTTTCCTGTATACAAAATAGAACCCAACAACACACTACTTAACAGCAACTTGGCAGTTTTTAAGGAAACATAATCTCACTATTGTGTCAAATTTAAATTTCTACAGTTTCTTCTGATGGAGCTAATCAAGAAAGAGTTAAAAAGTTGGAGTGAAACTCTACGTATCGACAACGTTCCTAGATCACCATTAGGTAACAATGATTAAGAACTAGTGCTTCAGTTAGTGTTGCATGATATCATAGGTTATAATCCATCAAATCCTTTTTCTTGTATGCCATTGGTCTAAGTGCAACCCATAACAAAATATATCCCCAGCATAAACTGGTGAATATCCAAGAATATACCCAAAGTGATATTACCCAATTTTTAAACTTTTGTCCACTTCAAAAAAGTCATTGTTTGAAATTCAATTCAAGATGAGAGAACGTTTTGTGGTTGTTACAGAAGTATGGACATGTCTGTTTGTTTATAAAATTATACCAGAGAACATTGAAAAATTAACATCTTGCACAGTAAATGGTGAGTTGTTTGTAAATATTTTTTCCATGTGATGCAACTGTATTTGAAGGATAAGAAACGCAATAACCTCTATATAGTGCAAAAATATGCTCATTTATTAGTCCTTGGACATTATCTGTTCCTCAAGCCTCACATTTTTTTTCAAGCTTTGCTCTTGGAAAACTGTTTGCATCTAAAACAGGTAGTGTCTGAGGACAAATATCCATGCATATTTTTGCACCAAAGGGAGACTATTGTTTGCATACTTACAACATTATGTGGAAGGTCTGGATAGTTAATGCTTTCAGGTAAACTGAAACAAGAATTTTCATATTTATTTTGTTATGAGAGGAAGAACGCTATAATTGACCTTTACCTTTATCAGATACAAATGCAAAAATAAACACAGAGCAACTCTGTAGATAGCCTAACAATAATACTTTAAAACTGATACAATGCTTTGCAAACAGCTAATGCAGGCATCTTAAAAGAGTGACACTGATTGTTCAAAGTACATGTAATTGCTTCATAAGATGAAACAGTCGTATACTTTTTGGTGTCTATCATTTTCAGACTTTTCTTTTTGGGTGGCAGCCAATATGCCCTTAGATGATAGCCTTAGACTTCAAATACTTGGTATCAACTGTCCTACTCAAAGACTACGAAAAGAGCTAGAAATAGTCCGTAAGGTAATTTAAAAGATTCAAACTTTTAAGAGCAACCTCCTCTTTACTGTTAAACAAAGTATATACTTTACTGTAACATGTGCACCTGTCGTTTTTCGATCCTTCCTCCTTTTTTTCCTGCTGTTTTGTTTAGGTTTCTCTCTTTTTGTGTGGACCTTGAATGAAGGAAACTGAATGTTTGACATTAGCAAGAAGTAATGGGATCAAAGACCCCATTTTTTTCTCTTTTCTATTTCGCGCAAGTCCATAGGATCGTTTTTCCGGGAACAACGAAGACGGATTGTAAATTTTCGTAAAGTTGAGAATGACTGTTTACTTTTTAAGAGTTTTGTTTGACCCTTATCGAATCCAGTTTTTAGAGGTACATAACTCTTCTCAAATAGACGAACCCCTAACTACCATCGATTGATTTCCAATCCTTTTTCAACCGACTGACGGACGACTGACGTCACACCCACTACCCCACTTTTGTCTTACAGTGTAGCGTGTTGTGCTGTCGTAGTTGTGATACCAAGATCGTGGAAAAAAGTGATTTGTTCAGGTGAGGCGTCATCTGGTGAGTTAAGACCATTCTAAGTGAATATTGTGTTATTTATTTTTGGTAGAATTGTTTAAAATGATGATTTTCAGAGTTCCATGAAACTTTCCTCTGTAATATTGCTCCAAATCGACGGAAAGCTAGAAAGCAGCGCACATATTTGCCTAGTGAGAACCTTTCGGCCTTTTTTGTGATTTATACGGTTGTTGTAAATGAATTTTAGGTATATTCAAGAACGTTTGTCCTCAAAGTACCCATTTTTTTCTATATCTCGGCTACCGCTACATATCATTGCGCATACGAAGGAGAGAACCCGATAAATACACCTGGGAGCGTGTCTTTCCTTAATTCATTTTTACTCTGGTCTCTCAATGATTAGTTGTAGCATGACAATGCCACACTGCAACAGGGTTAAAAGTTATGTCCAAATGTTATCCCGCATCTGGCTGTTTTTAACTCCGTTAAACGTTAAATCATAGTTCAATTAACTCTCCAGTATTTTTATGTTATTTTTCAGCATGTCCTTGGATGGTCCGTTGGGTGCTTATGTGAATCCAAATGGCTGGGTGCACGAGACGCTCACATTTTACCGAGCCTCCGGCATCAGACTTAGAGGAAAACCCACCGCACAGAACAGCTGGTTTCCAGGGTAAGTCGGTATCTCCCCCACCCACCCCTGTTAAATGCTGCTACCCTTGTTAGAAGTAACCTTTGCGTAATTTTCTCTTGTTCTGTGTACTTTTTTATGGGGTTTTTCTGTTAGTTTTACTTTCTTGCAAATCAAATTTATCTCGGCAAGGGAGTGACCTCACAAAGCGGAGCTGAGTGTAAAACCAACATGCGAGATAAACATGGATACTGAAAGTCAGTCAGATGCTGGTAATTGAAAAAATGTACAGTGTGAAAGAGAACCTGACATTCTGGGAGAGAAATTGACTGAATGTGTAAAATCGAGGCAGATTACACTACTTGCAGATTAGATTTTTGAGTTTTATTTTTCCTTCTAGGTATGCTTGGACTATAGCTGAATGTGCCCAATGCGCTGATCACTTAGGATGGCGTTTCACTGCGGTCAAAAAGGGTCTGTCGCCCAATAAGTTTTGGGGACTAACCCGAGCGTCTCTGCGTCCCACCTTAAAATACGACGAGCAAGAAGAAACGTCGGGAAAGTATACAAGGGCGTCATCCTCCTCATCCACCTCTTCGTCCCCATAGAGACCCGTGCAGTGCAGCTAAAAGTAGCTCAAAATACTTGAAACCCCAGCTTTGAAAACCTTGGACCCTGTCTTGGCTCGTTGTTGTAGAGAGGATATCAAGTTTTCTAACTTGTGAGGGGTTAGAAAACTGTGAATGTCAATGCACTTCTTTAGAAGGGTTCCAGATAATGCACCTCCATACGTCGATAATTCATGTGGACTGAGTGAAAGACAAAAAATTTGTCAACGATGGCTATGACCGCACAACACTTTGAAAATGTAGAACAAAAGTTTGATGTTATATTGTAGAAAACTGAACTTTCTCTGTTTTGATAAAAATTGTATCAAACATGGACGAGGGATCAGTTGTATCCGCCACAAGGTTCTTTGTTAGTTTAAGCTCTAAACACGCGTACACAAGGTATCGTTATAGTTAGCAAAGCGCTCTTTACACCTTCGATACGTAAATGAAGTCGCAATTACCCAATAGTTTTAGAGGACGCGGTGTACGTCTAGAATAGGGCTGTCTGAGAGCCTTAATCAGCGTTGCTATATGTCGAGAGAAATTCTAATTTCTCTCAGCGTAGTGTTCTGAGTGAGAAAAATCAGAGCAGGGAAGGGAATACGGGAAGGCAGAGGAAATTGAGGCGCTCTGACGGTTAATGTTATAAGAGTTATAAGTAAGGCCAACTTGACTTGCGGTAATAAGAAGAACAGTGAAACGTGCATAGTTAGGACTCATTGTTGACTGAGGAAAGCATGAGTTGTGTTACTTCTAATGAAAAAGGAGGCGGCGATAGCATTTGTTTCAGTAAAAACCAGTAAGCCTTACGGTCGTATTGATACAAAGATGAGATGGAATTCTCTCGTATGTAGTTTGAATGATAAAGAGCTTAATATGCAAGTTAGCATAACAAATGTCTTCGACGAGAGTAACGAGAAATGAAGCTTTTTCACCTGTAATGGTGTTTGATGATTTTAATTCGTGTTTTTTTTTTGTCACAAATCTTCTATTGACACCCACATTGACACAAATCAGTTGATTCTACTATCACAAGCAAGAACACAGAAGACAAAGAAAAGTGTAGCGGACGGCCATTTAACATCCTCAAAAGAAGTTTAAGAAATGGGGCATGTCATGGACATTTGCGAGACTGACTCAGTAAAAAAAATTGCATGTTAATCAAAATGTATTTTGATTTCTACAGTTTCTCCGGAAGGAAACGAGTTGAAAGATTTAGAAGCGAAGTGATTAAGGTGGGGAATAATTTGTTTTACTTAAGGGGCGAATTCGCAGAGGTGGCACGGGGGCGAACCTGCAGTGGGGAGAATCCTCTAGATACCCCCTCTACCCGGTGGCCTTAGAGATCCTCAGCAATCGCAATCGTTGCGATGAAAAGATCACTATTTCGGCAGCAGTGGCGATCATATGGAAACCAGAGTTAACAAAAAATAGCGTTAGAAATATCCTGAAAAGCACAAAAAGTTTGTCAAATCGCCTTACGTATCCCAGAACTCCCTAGCATGTGGAAACCAAATCAATCATTACGATCGCTGGCCGCGTTTTTCGATATTTTAAGCAATCAAAGCAACTGGGTGAAATCTAGGCTTAACTCCGAAAACCCTAAGAGAGAATAACATCTAAATTCTCCTAACAATATCACCCTTGAATTAAATATCGAGATCACGAGAATGAAGGAAATAATTGCTAAGCTCCTGACTGTTCAAAAAAATTTGTCCTTTTCATTCTCGTAAGGAATGGTAAGAGAACTACATGGAGAAGGTGCATACTGATGCAAGGGTGTAAAGGGTTACATGAAACAGAGCCAAATTTTTAAAGAGCCAAAGCTGATGTAGAGTAGGATTTATTTTGTGGAAAGCGCTGTTCCGCTGTCTAGAGGGGGGAGATACTTTAGTTCCCGCAACCGTGAGTAAGAATTTCTGTTCCACGCGTTTTTCTCTGTTCTTTTGATCCCTACATTATCATGTTCTAGTAAGTCTTGAGACAGAGGTCAAATCTTTCAGAATCATTTGTCACTTCCGGGATATGTATTCCACCTAAAGATAAATTTCGTCCTCTTTTCTCGCAGTGAAACTTCAGTACAAAAAAGAAATTCTCTAGGACACGCGAAGTTGCTGGAGTATGATGCTTCCATCATCACAATTTTATTTCAAGCGCTCAGAGCCATAGAAATGCATCGAGTGAACGTTTTATCAGTACAAAATACTACTATATACAAATCATCTATTTAAGTTCATAAAAATAGCAGTATGTGTAACATACAACTTGCAATTCTTAAAACATCGGGTTTTTACAAGATCAATCCAACAGGCGACGTTGCGATGAACCACCGTCAAAGAAATTCATCCCGTCGCTGGTCAAAATGTTATCCAAGATAGTGTCAAATGCGTGTTCCTCTCCTTTGTAGCGAACTAGTAATGTTTTACTACTAACGAAAACTCCTGCTGTTCAAGATAAGTAACGAGAATTTGCCGTTACCAACTAAACATTGCTTCAACCGCTATGGTGGCTCCACAGTTTCTCTAGAAGCTAATTTCTTCATTATTTCAAGCTCTTAGTATTTTTATTATTTTGTCCCTTTTCTTTATGAACTGCACTGATTAGGTAGAAATGAGGGGTGTTTCATTAAGAGGCATCCACCCTTCTATGATACCTGCCTTAGCGCGCCTTCCAAATCTGCTATTTAGTCTGTCTACTCATCCTTCTCCTTCTTAGCTCAGAAATTATCACGGAGACTCCTCCCAGTTACATAATGTATTCTTGAAGAATTTACGTAATCTCCTATCGTGATTAATCTCTTAAATCTCATGGCCTGCACGAGATTTTCTAGTTTATCAAACGTACGAGGAGATTATAAACTATTTAACTCCCTCGAGTATCTATTCTTAAATTAATAATGTGAGTCCAATTTTTTTTTCCTGCGGTGAAAGTAAACTTTTCTCGATTTACAAAGTTTCTTTTAAGCTTTTTATTTCGAGTCTTTCAGAGTATGAAATATGTGAGCGAAAAAAAAAAAAACACCACTGAAGAACGAGGGTAAGACCTGTGATACGCCAGTGTGACGCACGAGGACCTCTTTTTTTATAAATGTTCGGTTATAGAGAGCAAACACGGTAAAAGTCGTCCACAAGAGTGATCAACTTTGGTGTTTTCCTTTTGCATACTGTTTTTTCCTTCCGCTTGGTTTGTTCCAATTTGAAGCATTTTTTGTGAGATCTTTAAGATCAGCAACTGAACGTGACTTGAGAAATGTTCTCTGCTAAATTATTATTTTCTTCCCCGTTCCGTCATACGTCGACGTGGTCAGTTGTTCGTGAATATCGATAGGGATACATACTATTGTTTTTCATAGACTGTGACGGGCTCATACTAGAACTCGACCCAGCTGAATATCTGTTGATCATCCTTATCGACTCTCTAACGTCTCTAAGCTCGGTCTTCATTTTCCGATAAATTTGATCGAGTGAATTCTCAAGCGATTCTACTTTTCCTTGTAGAGCGTCTGCAGGCAAATCTCCTCTGTCAATTGGATCACTTTCTAACCGTGACCGACAAGTAGGGTGCGTGACCCGACCATTTTCAGTAAGCTCGTTCAGTTTTGCATGTGACGTCTGATTGTCATGACTGTATGTTAATGAGAGGTGTTGGAGATGTCCCGGATGGGTGTGGCTCGTGTTAGAGTATGTGCGTCTTGACGTGGCTGGGGATTCTTTAGTTTGCCCGGTGTTTGAAGGCCGCCACGAGTCTACAAATACTGCCTGTATTTTTCTGTTTTTGTCCCGTAGGGTTGGCTGATCGGATTGTTCTCCCTGCAAATCGCAAAAACAAAGGTTATCAGAAAACACTACATCCCCATGTAGTGAGTATTTCTTATTCCTGGTCATCACGTTTTTGCCAATAATAAAATGCGCGTGTATATAAATGCAGATTTAGCCTTTTGTGTCCTAAAAGTTTGTTAACTTACTTCTAAGATAGTCGGCGGAGATCCAATGCTTTTCAACGAGTTTCTGCTGGTGCGCCGTCCGACATTTTGCTTCTGGAGAAAATTTTCAACGTTCCCGATACTTCTTGACACGTCAGTCAGCAACATGGCAATGTCGTCAGCCAAGAAGAACTTCTTCCAGTAATCATCTGTTAATAGTTTGACAGAAAAAGTATGGAGTGATTATTGGACTCCTAAAAGTCATGCGTGTAACAAGAAGGAAACTGCTACTTGGCCAGGATTCTATTGGCGTTCATTCCAGCCAGCAAACACCCCTTTAAGCAGAAGCTACTGAGTCACGGTACCCGCCTCATATGTCCCTAAATGGACCTGAGACTGCATCCTGACGAGATGTATTCTTGATCACACTTTAAACTCCCTTCAAGAGAGGATAACTCATGCCCCTTGGCTAGCCCTAAGTATTTTTTATTATGTTTCTCTGCGGTGGGGTACACTATTAAGATTATGAGGTTTATGAATTGGCGATGAAAAAAAAAAGGGTTCACCAATAATTAATGGAAATATCCTTATAGCATAGTCCTGCGTCATGTTCAACCCCCCCTCCCCTACCACCACCAGGAATCGAATTCTCTGTGATAATGGAAACACCCCTTGTGCTCAGTGGGTCAACAGCGAAAATGTGCCATGTGTAGTATGTTCTCTTTGCTTATTCTGTCATCACACCAACTGCAGCGGACCTAGAAGCAGTTAAACCGTTAGTTAACCGCATGTCTCTTTCTGTCCTAGAGACGGCAGACATGTTTCTGTTCTAATTCTCTTGAGGACATAGTGATGTGAGACTTATCCACAATCTGTATAGCGTATGATTTGAAACTTAACTTTAGTCTACGTTTGGCAAGTGAAGTCCCTTCCCTCCCCTCTCCCCTTAGCTATCATACATACCTCGTGACCAGCTTTTCCTTGCGATCCTCCACCGCCGCACGCTTTCCGCTAGTTTGTGTTGAAACATTCTGAGTTTTTCAGATTTGAACCAGTCTCCCATCACGAGGGGTTCTGTGTTCTCCTGTATAAAGCGATGTAGTCTCCATGTGTTCTGGATGCATGTGGCTGCAAGATTCTTTTTTCCCGAATGATGATCTATGAAAAAGATAAATGCTCATAATAAACGATGCGTGGAGAAGACAGAGTTTGAGATCCACCTTCAGCGATGAACTAAGGGCCTCATAATCTGTTTCACTTTTGCGTGACTTCGCCCCGATATTTTTAGCCTTGGGTGACGAAAAAGCGCCGCCTTAATCAACACGTTGAACTCTAAATTATTACGGTGCGATGGTCTGCTTACTCTGACAGAGGAAGATTTCCAATAAATTGCTTACACCAATACAAAGTTCAACCGTTTTAGTAAGATAGAGTTAGCTCGATTAGGATCCGGTTTCTTTCTAATCTCAAAACTGAACAAAAGTGACATATTGAACAGGTACAATGATACTGCAAAACAAATGGGGGATAAAAATGAGAGTGCATTAATTTACCTGCATTCTCCATGGTCGCTAGTATTCTTTTCTCCTGTTGTTTAAGTTGAAGTGATTCGTGTACGACACTTATGAATAACGCCATGAGGAATATTCCCAACACTGACGCAAAACCAACAAACGCGCGAGCTAAGATAGCTTTGGGAACCACATCACCAAACCCGAGCGTTGTCATGGTGACCACGAGCATCCAGACAGTGTCCTGGCCAAATATTTTAAAAGAGGTTAAAACATGATAAAGAACATGCAATACAATTCGAGAATTTGTTTGATACCAAGATTATACCTGAAATTAAAAAAGGGAAAAAATACAATATTCTAGATTATCGCTAAGACTTTCCAATTGTCCTTTAACATGCGTTAAAGCGTTCGTTTTGCCTGAATTTTCTTTGCCCCCCGGTCCCCCCTCCCCCATCAACCAACTCTGATAATGACTTCCTCTAAGTTAATTGAAGCATCAGCATCTGCGTCCCAGAAGATTCCTG